AGAAAGTTCCAGGAACTTTTCGAGGGTTGGTCCGTTCGAATATGTTAGGCTCCGTCCCTCACCACCCGGTCGTCCATTGTTGTTCTGGCCGAATCCATAGTGGCCCTACTATAAGAGGCCCTCTTAGTGCCCACAGGGCGAAAGTGTAAAACAAAAAATATCCGAACGTCTTTGCGAAAGACAAATAACACCTTATCTTTGCCGACTTTTTCTTGATGTTTGTCTCATGCTTCTTAACCATTTTTAGAATTGTGCTTTTTCGGTAACCCAGGGTCTGGGCCACGTTCATTATTCCATCTATTTCTTTAAACCTGTTTTGGATTCTGTCACAATAAAAAAATGCCTTTCTTATTCAAGCTCGGAAAGCCTCAATTTTATACTTATACAAATTTTTGGATTGGGGAGAAAATATATAATGAGCTGTGGGATGGTTTAGTAAAAACGCTAGTTGATAAATGGCCTTTTTTGAACTTGATACTGACGTCTAGAAAACGCATATCTAATGAACTCTTCTGTTCCAATTTTAGACTAAGGCCATCATTATTATCATTGATCTTAGCCATAAAATCCTTAAGACTGCTGTTATTTCTCTATATTATAAGTAGTCATTAACATATCTGCTAAAATAAACGACATCCTCCTTGAAATTGTGAAGAATTCTTCTTTGTAGCCTCCCAACCACCTACTCGCACAGGATCCCTGAGAGCGGGCTTCTCATAGGGACCCTTATTCTCTGCCCATTAAAAACGAAACAAGATTCACGGAACACCAATCTAGCAGTTCCTCTACTTCATTGGTGTAAGTAAGCAACTCCGAGTTCTTGTCGTATAAGAAATCCAAAAGTGCCCCCACGCATGATTTTATCTTTACCGAAAGATACATGCTCTCATAGTCAAAAACAGTTGCAACTTCATTTTCCATTAACGAAATATTTTGTAGATCTTTGACAACACCCATAAAACCACGCGCAACTATAGTATCCGTGCCCATCTGCGAAGATAAATACTCATGTAACTTATTTTCTAATATAAACATGGGTCCCCTGCATTTCTCTACAACCGACCTCATTTCTTTACCGGCTTTGTGCACCTATATTGGAGTAACCATAAGGAGTTTGGGACTTAGACTCAAGGAACATAGTTATAATATCAGAAAGGAGTCTTTGGCGATGACCGCTGAAAGTATTCAGATTTATAGGAGTAAACTACAAGAAGGCTGTTTGAATGCGAGGGATGCCGAAAGTCTTCCCTCTGTATGGAAGTTAATGGTTAAAAACTTTGCTAAAAACTTTAACCAGTTAAAATAGTAATTTTGTTAGAAATATTATGTTGTTTGTTAGTAACTGTATTTATGTACATATTTTTTATTTTTGTTTTATTTCCGTTGGTTATTTAATTTTTTAATTTGAAGTTTGTATTTTTTTAATGGAATGCTTCAGTTCCAATTTCGTTCTAAACCTGAGAATGGCCTGTAAACCAGGCTGAAAACATTTGATTTGAAATAAATATATTTCTCGGCAAAGATAAGGTGTTATTTGTGTGTAAGTGATTTGCTGAGTACTTTTATGATAAGTCTTTGCGAAATTTTAGAAATTTTCACAAGAATTATTCAGCCTCAAACTGGGTTAATAAAATAGTTTTAATTAATGAGAATTCAATAAAATTCCTATTTCATATGACCGCTAATTTATAAGTAGTGTGTAAATAAAAGATACGTACAATGTAAATAAATGGAGCAATTATTCATTGTGATATCATCACAATATTCTCGATTTTATTAGTCTTTTCTCTCTGCATCATGCTTTTCCGGAAAACAGTAGGGTCATGACAGTTACCTGCCTAAATCCGATCAAGAAAAAGTTTTGAACAGCAATAACGTCACATTCGATCAAAAGCAAAAGTTTGTATATACAGTCGACCCCCCCATAAGACGGTAGATACGTTCCGTTTTTTATGAAATTGATGTTTTAGGAGACCTTGCCAATCACAGCCCGTGTTATAGGGGGATCGACTATACTTAATCGAGTCTCTCGCCTATAATCTTTCCATATGTGGGCCCCATTTTCATTTATTCAACTCTATTCTGGAGATTAATGAACAATAGTCAGACAATCAGACAAACTGAAGTGGCAATTTATAGGTATAAATACTAAACATCGTCATTTACTGTAGCATTAATTTTAATATATGAACTTAAACTGTAGAGTATGGTTAAATTTGTTTAACGATTTATTGATATTTCTTACGTATTCGAATGAATGTGACAAAATAGAAATTTCACTGTACAGTAGACCCTTCTATAACACGGGTTCATATAATACGGATGCGTACAACACGGAATTCATAAAACACGAAACGTGTTTACCGTGTTATAGGGAAATCCATTGTATAATTTGAATAACATTTCTATTCAGCACTACAGCATCTCTGTGTTACACTATGATACTTTTGTGCTTTTCATTTCAGATGCTTGCCTACTTCTCTACTCAGGCTGTGGTACTGAAAGAATTATATGAAAAGTTTCATCTTAAAAGTACTTGAAATACGTTTGAAATTTTCAAATGAACTAGAAAAAAGTTAGAGCTTTGTTAACATATTTATAAATGATTATTTTTTTGAAAGTCATGCCAATAATATTCTCGATAATATAATTAAATATTTATGTTTTTTTTATGAAACGTTCATTAATTCTTATTATAAAACAGCGTTTTTACTTTTGCTTTTCTGATTGTTATATATAACAGTAAAAGAGTATGGCGATCGGACAATATGATTCCTCTGTGATATTTTTATATTTTTGATTTCGAGTAACCTTTAAAAAGCAAGAAATAGAAAAAAAGATGTGAGTAATTATGTGTGTAGTTGAAAACGAGCATTGTTTTTATAATTTCACTAAAAGTATTGTCTTTCTACATTATTCTACCCGAAGAAAACTTACTGTTAATATCTTCTAGTCTACTGCACGTTGAAGTTTATCCTGCCAGAAAGAAATTTGGACTTCATTTTAGATGTTTAACGCTTTCGCCATAGGAAAGCACGTTTTTCTTCTTAAAACACCTTTCCAAAAACTCTCAAAACAGATGACGTTCAATTCATGTTAAATGCATATTTTTCAATTGTTCTGTGGCCAGGAATAAAGGATAAAAATTGCTTAACCATTATCGAACTTTCATTTTTTTATAAAGTCTAAAAACTGAAACCATTATCTTTAATCTCAAATGTATATGTATATAATTCGTCTCTGTAATCCAAAAATTTCTAGTAGACGGACTCACAGCAAAACTTTTAGTTAGGAAATCACTTTTATTCTTTAAAAAATGACACATTTTTTAAAGAATAAAAGTGAGTTCCTAACTAAAAGTTTTGCTGTGAGTCCGTCTACTAGAAATTTTTGGATTACAGAGACGAATTATATACATAGTAACATACAGCAGTCCAGATATATAGTAATATTTAATCTCAAAATAATTTTTTTATTTCTACTATATTTTTTGTCTTGTCAAATTTTTATCTTTCTGTTTGTTCATTCTGCCATCATCAACTATGCTGCAGCTGAACAATGACTCGTCTACGCGATTATTCTTTATCCGATAAAACTATATTGAGGTGAAACGAGTACAACTTGAATAGCGCAGTATCAGAGTTCTGTTAACAATAAACTCGAATAACGTTTGTGTTGTTTGATTTTTCAATGTTATAATTGTAATGCGCTATAACGATTCGCCACAAAATCCTCTACTACTCTTGGTCCACAGAAAAAGCTAATTTTATAGAGTGTTCATGCTTAATCATGTAAAACCCTACCTGAGTAAAGTTGTACTTGAATTGTAAATATTTGTAAGTAATATTGTTTTCTTTCTGAAATTCCTGTGAAATTTTCTACATCCGCTATTGGCCCCCAGTGTACTAAAAAAGTTTACTTTTTTGTATCGGATAAATTACTTACTACATTAGGCTGTGTTGGAGAAAAATAATAAAAAGTCTAATGAAAGCCTTTTAGGCCACCAGTTGCCAAACGGTCTCCGTTTTCTGAACACTGGGAAATCGATAGTGAGTTCACGTTTTGCTCGGATGGGCTAATAACAATTACAATGAGTAATTATAATTTGAAATAATGCAGTTTTATTCTTTTATAGTAATACAATAAATGTACGTTTAGATTTACAAGTGAATTTATCGTGGAAAAAGACATTGCGAAAACACACTAAAACACATTCTCTTTGTTTTCTTTACGTATTCTCTATTACACGTCGAGAAGTAGCTTCGACTCTGAACGGTTGACAATAAAAGTAATGGAATTTATAGTGTATTTTCCGTCGTAGTGTGCTGTATTAAACATAAACAACACAAATTTTTATTTGTCTATAACACACATTTAAAAATCTACACGAACAAAAATCCACTTCGATGTGCTAAGTTTAATTTGGTTACAATTTTAAAATTTCAGGCCTATACATTTCCACTGTCATCTGTTTGTCTGAGCTTTCTTTAATCTGGAGAGCGGAGTTTTTTCGTGTAGATTTTTAAATGATTATATCAATTCACAAAAATTATTACCTAATACTGTATGTATAATTTCTACATGTATAAAATTAAACCAACGGAAAGATGTAATTAAAACCACGAGCATATTTTAGTAAACGAAAAGTCACTGAAAGTTATAAACACTTTAAAAATTGCAGTATTTAACAGTAAAATTTGACAGGCGGATTGATCGAGCAATTAAGGCAACAGCAGCTCAGTTAAACTCGGGATTAATACGATTGCAAATCGGACTAAAAACTTCCAACATTTATAGAAAATGGCCTGTCCTGCATAATGGTCCCGTCTCCAATTACTTCGCCTCTCCATTGCACGTCTAGCCCGACCCAAGATGAGCTTCTTAAAAAGGACTTCTCAGAGCCTATAAGGCGGAAACAATTTTAAAGAAATTATTAATATGACACTGTATGTCGTCATCACAATAAATTTTTCAACAATACTTTCGAATAGAATTGTCGAGTTTCGATTGTTGAGAGAAATGTTTCGCTGCGTTGGAAAGATTGTTCTGCGAAGTTCGAAAGATAAAATGACGAAGAAAAGGTAAATTTAATTAGAAATTGTGTTTATTTATACGAATTCTTTAATATTAAGTGAATATTTATTGATATTCTTTGTAGTAGAAGAGAAGATGCTGAACCGAATGTTCAGGAAAATAATAATTACTCATTTCAGGTAAACCGTTGATTTCTGTGTAAAAAAAATGGAAATTATTTGTTGCTTGAATTAAGCTAACGAAGATTTTTTTGATTAGTTTTAAAATATTCTTTCCAAAAACGTTACTATCATCGATAATTTTTATCTCGATGTTTTCTAGAATGACAAACATTTGCCTGCAACGAAATGTGACTCGTTGAACAAAGGCGAGTGGCAGTTGCAAGCAAATAACCGGAAAAAGGACGGAAAACTTATGGGATATCTAAGAAATATATTCCATAAATTCTTGTTATGTTGTTGCGTTTCAGGCGAGATTTCTGATTCGGAGGTAAATTTTCATTTTTTCTCTCATCCTTACATTAGCAAAATTTAATGAATAATAATTTATGTGATTTTGTAGACTTACGAACCGAAGAAGAATCTCGCAGATTTGAACCTCGAATTCGACTGTGTTAGTAAACCCAAAAAGTTTATTGACAAATACCAAATTACTAAAGAAATTGCACGAGGAAGATATGGAACTGTTTATTTGGCTAGGACGAAATTTTCCGAAAAGGAAAAGGCTGTAAAAATTGTAAAGAAAAAATTTTCTAATTCTGATCAGGTATTCTATAGCAACAGTTTTCAATATTCTGTCTTTTATGTGAATGAACAACAATTTCCCGAATATACAAACTAATCACTAATACAATGTACATATTAAAAGAATAATCATTTTCTTAACAGTATTTTGAGAATAAAATTAATCAGTGTTTCATTAATTTACATTAGTTATATTTTAACAATATTTAAAATTCATATTTCGTGTGTATTAATCATTTATTTATTTACAGTTTGAAGAAATCCAGACGGAATTAAACGTTTGGAATTCTGTGTCCGCCCATCCAAATATTGTCAGGTTGATTCGATTCTTCCAAACTGACACAAGGTAAGTTTTTCTCTTTTTACTTATTTATAATTTCTGTTCCGTGACGTAATAACTTTTATTTGTTAGCTTTTGCTTTGTATCGGATTTTGTCGAGGGAGAATCTTTGAGAATTTTTTTACAAAAGTATGGTCCTATAGCGGAGAGTAAAGCGAAAGTGTTTGCCGCTCAAGTGGCCTCTGCTATTATGTATATTCATAAGAATGGTAATTATTTGCTGTACATTTATCTGCTTATTTATTTCGATTTTAAATAGGAATTATACACAGAGACATCAGTGCTAACAACATTATGTTAGACGTGTACAAAGGTGCACAAGTAATTGATTTCGGTCTGTCCACAGTAAGTATTGTATATAAAATATACATTGTAATATTCTCGAACAGCACATTTATTATGATCTATTAACTATGTTATTATTACATTTTTCAGTACGAACGAAACCCAACAAAGTTTTGTGGAACTTTATCATTTCTTTGTCCGGAAATTCTACAGAGGAAGCCTTATGGTAAAGACAGGACTTGTATTTTCACAATTGCTTTTCTCGTATTCTTCGATGTATTAATTAATTAATGTATTGTTTGTAGATTCCTATTGTGACTGGTGGGCGTTCGCCATCGTATTATTTCAAGCGTTGGTTGGAACAACACCTCTGCAAATTTATGTAAAAGAAGCATTTAATATTGATAATGTGTATTTATTGCCCCGTTACTACTGGATAAGAGGTAAAGTATCAAACTTGTTAATTTAATAATAATAACAATAACAATACAAGATAATTAATTTCAAAATGTGTTTGTAGTTGCTGTAGCTGCTGTAAATGTGCCGGTGTCCTATCCTGCTACATTATCGGATGATGCCAAACATTTTATTAACGATTTATTGCAAAAGGTAATTTCATCATTAACTCTAGTTAAAAGTTCAGATTCGTCACCCTGTTGTATGCACGGAATGACATTTATTTACGTACCGAAGCATTAAATAGACACATTGAATTTTTATGTTGCTATATGCAACGAATTAATGATATATATAGAAAATTATATATCAGAAGATTTAAAATATATATTTAGGTCAGGAGTATAACTTCATGTGTTCGAATAAAACCATTCGTTTAATTGATAACATTCATTATATTATATTATAATTACTCAAATGTTGAAAATTTGTTTCTTATCATTAAATAAGCACATTTTTAATGACGATTAGATAGAGAATTAATTGATGTGTTTTTTATTATTTTAATGACGTTTCTTAACCGAAATAACACATAGACGAAATTATATTTATTGGAATATTAAATTTGAATTAATTATTGTTTGTTTTTGATGATTTCAGGACCCATACAGACGTCCTCTAGAAGCAGATATTCTGAAACACAAGTATTTTAATGAAGTGCCTTGATCCGTAATTGTAAGTTTTATTTATCAACATTACGAATGAAACGTTAATATTTTACGAAATAAAATAATTGATTCATTTGTATTTCAGACTGGGTTTTGAACCGAAGAGATTCCAAATAGAGTTATAAAATAAAGAACTATTGAATAAAGAATTTCTTCAATTTCATTTGGCTTTCATTTGGCCAAAGTTTTTTCTTTTTAATTTTAATTTTAAGTGAATCGTTGTAAATATGAAATTAATTTCTTTAAAATAATCGTTGTAAATAAAAATGATTTAAAAACTAAATTTATTGTTTCATTTGTGTATTAAATATTACACACGATGAGCGTTCATAATGGTTTATATATAATAGNCAAGTGGCCTCTGCTATTATGTATATTCATAAGAATGGTAATTATTTGCTGTACATTTATCTGCTTATTTATTGTATGAGTTACAAAGTAATGTTTCGATTTTAAATAGGAATAATACACAGAGACATCAGTGCTAACAACATTATGTTAGACGTGTACAAAGGTGCACAAGTAATTGATTTCGGTCTGTCCACAGTAAGTATTATATATAAAATATACATTGTAATATTCTCGAATAGCACATTTTTTATGATCTATTAACTATGTTATTATTACTTTTTTCAGTACGAACGAAACCCAACAAAGTTTTGTGGAACTTTATCATTTCTTTGTCCGGAAATTCTACAGAGGAAGCCTTACGGTAAAGACAGGACTTGTATTTTCACAATTGCTTCTCTCGTATTCTTCGATGTATTAATTAATTAATGTATTGTTTGTAGATTCCTATTGTGACTGGTGGGCGTTCGCCATCGTATTATTTCAAGCGTTGGTTGGAACAACACCTCTGCAAATTTATGTAAAAGAAGCATTTAATATTGATAATGTGTATTTATTGCCCCGTTACTACTGGATAAGAGGTAAAGTATCAAACTTGTTAATTTAATAATAATAACAATAACAATACAAGATAATTAATTTCAAAATGTGTTTGTAGTTGCTGTAGCTGCTGTAAATGTGCCGGTGTCCTATCCTGCTACATTATCGGATGATGCCAAACATTTTATTAACGATTTATTGCAAAAGGTAATTTCATCATTAACTCTAGTTAAAAGTTCAGATTCGTCACCCTGTTGTATGCACGGAATGACATTTATTTACGTACCGAAGCATTAAATAGACACATTGAATTTTTATGTTGCTATATGCAACGAATTAATGATATATATAGAAAATTATATATCAGAAGATTTAAAATATATATTTAGGTCAGGAGTATAACTTCATGTGTTCGAATAAAACCATTCGTTTAATTGATAACATTCATTATATTATATTATAATTACTCAAATGTTGAAAATTTGTTTCTTATCATTAATTAAGCACATTTTTAATGACGATTAGATAGAGAATTAATTGATGTGTTTTTTATTATTTTAATGACGTTTCTTAACCGAAATAACACATAGACGAAATTATATTTATTGGAATATTAAATTTGAATTAATTATTGTTTGTTTTTGATGATTTCAGGACCCATACAGACGTCCTCTAGAAGCAGATATTCTGAAACACAAGTATTTTAATGAAGTGCCTTGATCCGTAATTGTAAGTTTTATTTATCAACATTACGAATGAAACGTTAATATTTTACGAAATAAAATAATTGATTCATTTGTATTTCAGACTGGGTTTTGAACCGAAGAGATTCCAAATAGAGTTATAAAATAAAGAACTATTGAATAAAGAATTTCTTCAATTTCATTTGGCTTTCATTTGGCCAAAGTTTTTTCTTTTTAATTTTAATTTTAAGTGAATCGTTGTAAATATGAAATTAATTTCTTTAAATTAATCGTTGTAAATAAAAATGATTTAAAAACTAAATTTATTGTTTCATTTGTGTATTAAATATTACACACGATGAGCGTTCATAATGGTTTATATATAATAGTAATAAGTTAGTATTTTGTGGGGAAAAATTAAAGAAATTTGCTTTAAAGATTTTAGTTTCAAGGTGACATTTTATTGTTTGAAAATGTACTTAACTTTTTTAATGTACTGTACGTTAAGTTCATATAAATCAAACTGTTACCATATGAAAACTGAAATGTCCATGTGCGAAAGTGTAAATAGATAAATATTATATATAAGTGCGAACCCTGACGTAAATTGTTGAGCCTGCTGAAAGTTATAATAAGAATAATAGGCCTATCTTCATCACTAAACAATTGGTAGAAACGATATTTGATGTGAATATAAAGTATGGACTATCATAAGGCCCATTATTTTTACATATGAAATATATTATAATGAAAACGTATTAAAAATTTTTGATAATAATTTAGTGTTTGTTAGCCTTTGACACTCGGGGCCCGGGGCTTAAGTTCCATTAGTCCTAATATATGCTTTCGATACAATTTGGCAGTGTTAAATGCTTCGAATGACGTCAAGCGCTTGCACTTGTTTGCTGCGGTCAAACCACCCTCAAGCATTTCACTGACTTAAAGTGGCTATTCGATAGCTGTCAATGTAAAAGCAAATACAAATGATGAAAGAGTTTACGTGTTAGAATAAATTATTTTTGGCATATTTGTTTTCATATAAAAAGTATATTATATTCAAAAGTTTCTCTTAAACATGCGGCGAACGCTAAACAAGCCAAGAGGATTCGCACCTGATTATATTTGAAATTGCGTGTTGGGGCTCTGTAATTTCGATAACAATAATTGTCGTATAACAATTACAAGAATGTATTACAAGTATGTATTTACCTGTGCTTTGATATATCTTTGTATTTAACCCGATTATCCTCTGATGATATCGGGAATAAATAAAGATAAAGATAAATAAATAAATAATCGTCAGGATAGTAAGGAAAACACCGTTAGGCCAGTACCAATATTAAGTAATTTTATACTTATAGCATCATATAAGGAGAAACGAGGAATGGTGAATAACAAACAAAATAAATTTATTTAAAAAAATTAGTGTTTTGAAACTAATTTGAACTTCAGCATTCTTATAATTTGAGAATAACTTAACACGTTGTATCTTTCAAAGTTAATAATTTAATTTGAAAAACATTCTAATAATAATCTTTAAACGTGATATGAGAAGCCAAGGGCATAGAATGATTCTATGTCGCTTACTGACACACAATCGTTACACTGGCTCACTTTACGGAGGCCTTTTTAGGAATTAAAGTAAACTTCCCCTCGTCAGGATTCCCGACACCAGATAGTCAATTTCGAGGGCTATCACGCGATCACTTCTGATTAATTTTATTAACAGGTTACGTTAAGATTAAGAGGAGGGAATCTTTTGATTCGGTCATGAATGAGACCTTTGTTTAAGTAATAAATAAAGATATTTAATATAACGAATTGAAAAATACAAATCGACATTTCAACATGTTAGATTTTTTACCACGCGGAGAGAGAGATTACAATTCTTGTAAATGATAATACCTAGCAAGGTTACTTTTATACTTTAGGTTTTCGTTGTCTTGTCCTGTAGGTGGGTCGAAAACAAGGTTCGTTAAAATTCAGGTTCTCATCAGGTCTTCACTTCTTTTACTTGAAAATTCGAAGACGGCATTTCATCGGACAGTTTCTTGATTTAGGAACATGAAGACGGATCTTTACTAGACTTTGGGCGTTGGCTATGGACAGACGGCATGGAATACGTCTTTCTTCTTTTAGAAGTTCTAGCGCACTCCGAACAATAAGAAAGAATTTCCTTTTTCGAGGATTTCTTTCAATTGGAACTTCGTATTTTTCCCACGTGAGCAGGATGAATGGGAAATTACAGAGGGGTTGACTTGTACTTGTGTGACTCAAAAGTTCAAAGATAAGGGAAAAAGAAAAAGGATGTTCAACTTCTCTTTATATGAAGTTTAAGACTTATAAAAATTATTAATTTTTCGAGTCTTTTCTAATCGGTTTTAACCATACCACAGAAGTAACAGTCTTTCGGTTTGAAGATGAAAACTTTATTAAATGACCAATAATAGATTATTAAAAAATACACGCAAAGTTAAAATTGATCTAACGCCGATTTTTTATTTGAAGATTCTATGCAAATGAATTTATGTGACTACCCGAAACTAAACAATATAGGGCTGGAAACTGATATATATATTAAGGCTAAAAGAGACTATAGTTATCGTAGGAAATTTTTATTATTGTTTTAATGCAAAAAGTGTTGAATCTTCAAATAAAAGGTCGGCGTTTGGTCAATTTTAACTTTGTTTGTATTATCAATTTGAAACCGTGTCGTGTTCAATTTCTATTGTTTATCCAACACAATGTAGTACAACTTAACAATCACTTGGCTTTCTTTCAACTTTATTTTAGTTGATACCATAGTTCAAGTAGAATAAAGTACAAAGAAAGCCAAGGATCGATAATTTGCACTACATTGTTTTAGGTAAACAATTTATGTGTACTTTATTCTAGTTGATACTATAGTTCAAGTAGAATAAAGGAAAAAAAGCCAAGTGATCGTTAATTTGCACTACATTGTTTTGGGTAAACAATTTATGTGTATTGTATAATAATTTATTATTTGTTTATAATAGTATAATTCATTCATTTGGTTTTATCTATTGGTAGGCTCAAAAATTGCATTAAAACTAAAATTCCCTATAAGGAGCGAATTGAATTCTAGTTACGCTTTATCTTTTTATACTTATTATTATCTTCAGCTCAATCTAAGAAATATGTTTTAGAATATAAACGACAAAAATAAATAAACAACAATAACATTTTTTTTTTTACTTAATAAAGATAAATACTTACACTCATCTGTTTTAGTTTACTTCTTTAAATGAAAATATGTTTTATATTAGTAATAACTTAGTAATGATAAGTAATTCATGTAAATTTGTTAATTTATTGCACAATTCACAAAAATCATTTTCTAATATGTATAATGTCTACATGTATAAAATTAAACCAAGAAGAAAACATTATTATCTCTGAAAAGAATAGGCCATTGCCAATGGAAGATTGACGTAAAGAGAACAATACCTCTTCTTTATAAAAATAAAATACAAAACAGAGATAACGACCTGCACTAAATCGTGATTTTGGTTGTCAGTTGAGTATTTCATTCACCGAACAATAATAAGTAAATTAATCAGCAATAATGACTAAACTAAATAAAGGGAAAAACTAAGTTTAAATAATTTCGTTTAATGAAATTTTTAACCAACGTAAAACCATTACTAAGTACTAAATAAAATGCAACACTAATTAAATACACGACAATTCACATTTAAGTATTAGAAAGATACCTTTCTTGTTAGGTTTCTGAAATTTACGCGACAATTTTATCTGTACTACAAATTTTCAAATTCGTATAATATATAATGGTTTCTATAAAATACAATTCTTAAACGTTAAATCAATATGTATATTTTATTTGCATACACAGTTAAATCAAACAGTAAATGTGTAAAAATTTTCGACAAAGTATTCCTAATGATTTTCTTCATATCTTTCAAAAAGTAATCTAATTCTCAAAAGAACAATCTAACGTCACAATATATTGGACAAAAATCAGGTTTTAAATATATATTTTCTTCCGAGGGAGGAATTGCAATGACGTCATGAATTGGAGTAAAACGATCTGCAGATGGTTTGATTTCTATTTTGTTTTTTGGAATTATTATTATTATTTTTTGGGGGGGGAAATCTAATGATAAGTTGAAACGTTGTAAACTTTTCAATATAAAGTCCAACTCTTAACTCGATANTCTCCGTTGCGTGTCGCTTCGCGTTGAATTTTCGTCGATGTTAAGCCTAACAAAGACTATGGTATCGTTAAAAATTATTTTTTTATTTTGTACAAACAAAATAAATATATTGAAAAATATAAAAACAATAAAAAATTATACTTTAGATGTTAATTTAGTATCAAAACGTAAAATATTTGAGTAGCCCAAGACATAGTCAAAGATTGCAGCGCCACAGCACTAGCGAAAATTTAAATTTTGCCGACTGGAATGCTTTCGGTTAACGGACGTTTCGGATAACCAGCTTTCGGATAAACGACGCTCTACTATAAAAAAAACTATAATACATACAAATGTACGAACAAATAAAAACACAGCGAAGCGGGTCCTTGCAGCTAGTCTCTTATAAGAATAGACCAGTGCCAATGAAAGATTGAACGTAAAGAGAACAATACCTCTTCTTTACAAAAATAAAATATGAACAACAGATAACGGTCTGCACTGAATCGTGATTTTGATTGTCAGTTGAGTATTCCATTCACCGAACAATAAATTAATTAGCAATAATGACTAAAATAAATAGAAAGAAAAACTAAGTTTAATTAATTTCACTTAATGGAATTTTTAACCAACGTAAAATTATTACTAAGTACTAAATAAAATGCGACATCAATTAAATACACAACAATTCACATTTAAGTATTAGAAAGATATCTTTCCTCTCAGGTATGTAAAATTTACGTGACAATTTTATCTGTACTACAAATTTGCAAATTATTATAATATACAATGGTTTCTATGAAATACAATTCTTACACGTTAAATCAGTATTTATATTTTATTTGCATATACATTTAAATTAAACAGTAAATGTGAAAAATTTTCGAAAAAGTATTACTAATAATTTTCTTCATATCTTTCAAAAAGTAATCTAATTCTCAAAAGAACAATTTATCCTCACAATATATTGAAAAAAAATCAGGTTTTAAATATATATTTCCTTCCGTGGGAGGAATTGCAATGACCTCATGAATTGGAGTGAAACGATCTGCAGATGGTTTGATTTCTATTTTGTTTCTTGG